AAAAATCCATATTTTCTATTTATTTTCTCCAAACCACTTTCCCTTATTTCGCCCATCTTTTCATGATCAATATATTTTTATTATTTCTGTCTTTTATTTTTCTTTCACATTATTTTTAACTTTTTCAAATTCCATTCATACCTAATTTATAGCTTTGCACACCAAACCATATTGTATTTCACTCAGGGGTCACCCCGATCACCATTTTACACCACAACCAAACAAAAAAAAAAAAAAAAAAAAAAAAAAAAAAAAAAAAAAAAAAAAAAAAAAAAAAAAAAAATACACAAACAACCTCCACATCACGGCGGGATTTTTCTTTCTCCACTCTGCGCCGGTCTCTTCTTTCTTTGGCCTCCGTCCTGGGCGGGCCCTTGACAGTTTTCCTCCGGGTTTTCACCCTCCACTGGGGGCGTCACAATCACTTACTCCCTGACCTCCTCCAACTGCAGCATTTATGCGCGACTCAAATCGGAAACATCATCGGTGGCCTTTCCGCTTCAGCTCCTTATTTTCGCCTTAGCACACTTATCTTCTGCTCGCGCATCCTTATACATGCCGCTTGGAGCAGAGCAGATTGGGCGTTTAACTGCTTGCAACCTTCATTTGTTCCTACTCTAGAAGCCGGGCATTGCGAACAAATTTGTGACCGCCAGTCATGGTTTCACACATGACTTCAAAGATATTACTGATTGTGGCCTCAATGTTATCAGTTTCACCGCCATTTTTGCTCCACAGGACCGACATCGGAAAGTTCAACGGCAGCAAACACAGAGTGCTATGGTTGAGGATTCACTGAGCCACCCACCAGTTATCTCTCTTGTTGACTCGTTGAGGTCGGGAAAGAGAGTGAGCAGGACCATGACGAAGAGGGCCATATTCTGGGTAGAAATCCGAACGGGAAGACGACGGCCATTTTCTGGACAATAGAGTGTTACAGAGTATTACAGAGTTTTCTTTCTCAACGAGAGTTTCATACTAATTTGTTATGCTTCCAAAGCCACAGCCTCCAGCCTCAGTATTATAAAGACCCTGACTGAAGAGGCAGACACGCGCATCGCGCGCCACTTGACGACTCAGACGACAAAACGGGCGTGCAAGCCATGTGGTGACGCGCTCTCGGCCATCATGGGATCTCGGCAACATCTTTTTATTGGACTTGGGTCGCCTTTTGATTGGCAGCCTTTTTCATGGATTGGGCACGCCTTTTTGATGGCACAGCCTTTTTTGATAGATTGGGCACACCTTTTGAGGGTGCCGACTTTTAAGGGTCCGGACAAGACTTTGTAAAAACCTGTCCGACTATTGATTCCCGTTAGTTTCTACAAGGTCCAGCAAGACTCCGAAAACTGTCACAACAACTGTCACAATACATTGTCTGCTTACAACGGTCTCGACAATGCAACCCCATAAACTGGTCATTCTACATCGGTCTGCCATAACCATACAGGTCATTTCTACAACGGGTTCTGACACGACCATACAGGTAGTCTTCCTAGAAATCAAACGGAGGAGAGAGAGGGGACAAGCCCATGTGAGGAAAAGAGGGGTTTAAAGAAAGTGAGGGAGTGAGTTGATTAAAAAAAGGATAGTGGGTTTGAAAGTGGAAAGATGAGAGAGAGATTAAATGCATGTCATGTGGGCCGTGTGTTTCTCTCTGAAAAACCAAACATGCTGCCTTGTTTGTTTTCATGCACCACCGAGAAGAGAGCCCAGGTGCAGAGAGAGAGAGAGAGATTGGTGGCCATCATCTTGATCATCCATCTCCTCAAGAATAACATATTTTGCAGCTGGATTGGTTGTCGATGACCTTGCCACATTCTCTTCACCTATTTCACCCTTTTGTAGCTTTTGGTATTTGTACCAATTGAATAAGCTCACGCCAAACAGGATTGTAATAAGGCCAGCCCCTTTCAACCAAGTAAACTGATCATGGAAGTAAAAGACAGCAACCAAGATGGTGACAGCCTCCTTGACAACTCCTGCTATTGTCACAGTTACTGCACTAGTTACTGAAACAAGAATGTATTTTGTCAATACCATAAAAAAGGCGAGAGTTCCACCAAGAAACATGAGAAGGCAACTCCGAGTGATATGCCATGAACTATTGAAGTAATTGCTTGTTCTGAATTCATCCCAAGGATCCATTATCAGAGAGAGCATAGCAGTTGCCACTGCCATCACTGGAGTTACATAGCTCATCAGGGTAAGTGGATTTTTCAGACCATATACTTCTTTCTGAAGAAGAATCTGAGTTATGGTCCAACGAAATCCAGACATAACAGCAGCAAGCATAACAAAAATGAATCCCCAAAATTCAAATTCAGTTTCCTTCGCAACTGTTAACATTATTCCAATGGATATAATAAAAATGATACTGAAAAGTTTAAAGCTTGGAGACTCCAATCTAAATGCAAAAGCAAATATAAGGAGAAATATAGGAGCTGCTGGTTTACACATAGTGGCAAATGTAACAGAGATGAAAACAAGGGAGGCCATCGAGGACATGTCTTGTGTTCTTACATCTGAACACATACACGGCACCGAGACAGTTAGAACAGGTCGGCGGCGGTGCCCGGAGTTGCAGCAGCGGGCAGTGAGCAAACAAACGAAGCTTTGGTGTTTTGGTGAAAATGTTTGTGTTGAGCACAACTTCTAATAGTGTTGTATTATTGATTGATGTTTTGATTTCTGATTGATATTTGATTCTGTTACAATTGATTGATTATATAGATGTAGGTTAGGTGGTGGTAGGTGAGGTGGTGGTAGGTGAGGAGTAGGTGAGTGTAGTAGGTGAGTGTGTGATAGGTGATGGTAAGTGTGTGGTAGGTGATGGTAAATGCTAACATAGTGTTTAGTATGAAAATAACCAATACATATACGCATGCATGATTTGTTATTTTGGCGCAGAGGGTTAATAGGATCCAAGCAGACCAACTTGTTTAAGACCTTCTTCCCTCATAAAAATGTCAAGATACATGTTCTAATGATGTTTAAAGCTAATGTAACTTGCACCCATGTTAAAAAACAACAAGACAACACCCAAATAGTACACATTAATGTGTGTTTGGGAGGGGAAAGATTGGGTACACACCTAACCTTTGGCATAGTGCACAAAGTGGTTACTCCGAGACTTGAACCCATAACCTCAAGGTTATTAGGTCAAGTTTTTACCATTGAACCAATGGTCACCCCTAACTTGCACCCATGTTGCATCTTAAATATTATTTAGAAGAATTGGTCGAATCTACTTGTTTCTCTATGCATTTAGCATTTCCTTGAATTTCATAAATATGTTACATATTTTTTAATATTTTTTTTTGCTCCTTATATAGATTAGGCATGGGGAAGCTGTTGGAATAATTGGGCCCTCTGGCACTGGTAAATCTACTATTTTAAAGATCATGGCTGGGCTTCTTACTCCAGACAAGGTATTTACCTCAGCACGTTTTTCATATTGGTTATATATTTTACATATTGTATTAATTTGTTTCTATAACTTAATAAAGCACCTCTCAGATTTTCTTACATAGAAAATTTTTCATTTTTATTTTTTTAATGAGCAGGGCGAGGTTTTCATTCGAGGAAGAAGAAGACATGGTTTAATCAGCGATGATGAGATATCTGGCCTTCGAATTGGCATGGTAAATTGTAATTGACTTACACATCTTAGTTTTGTTGGCTTACCTTGTTGATAATAATCTCAAACTTTATTTTTAATTACTGTCATTATTTATATGTGTATTCTTTTGAGTAACAGGTGTTTCAGAGTGCAGCACTTTTTGATTCTTTAACTGTTCGCGAAAATGTCGGTTTCCTTTTGTAAGAGACTGTCTAAATTGTTTTATTCAAATTTGATGCAACCTTTACAATATTCTTCCTAAATCTAAGTGTAGTTTTCTGTTTTATATTTCTCCCTTGTAAAAAGACCAACACATCTAAAATCTTGACCAATTTTCTTGTTTTTCACAGGTATGAGAATTCCAGCATGTCTGAGAATCAAATCGCTACCCTTGTTTCACAAACTTTGGCTGCTGTTGGATTGAAGGTACAGTTTATATCAGCATAATTATATGATTTTATGACTTTACATATTTACCCTAGTCTCTTATGTATAATTTGGTTTAATGACATCTAGACTCAAAATACCATAGCTCTCAACCGGTATGGAGTTTGGAAAGAAGTATATAATGTCATACCATGATCATTTTAGTTTGCTTAATACATTTAATATAATGGCTTATGTACAAACATACACAAGTGTATGGCTAAGCTAGTATTAAAATGTTTTTTCTGTTAAAACGTAATGTAGAGTCTGTAGTAGTATGCTTTTGAATGGTTTACTATTTAGTTGAAGAAGATGGAATAGTTGAGTGCTTGCTGCCTGCATATTGCCCTTATGGAAATAGTGCAACTGTAACTCAGATTGTTCTAGCCATCTCAATGCTGTTGAAGTATCACACACCTGGATTTGAAGTATTAAACTAAGCTTGACCACCTTCTTCACCTGTGAACAGTTAAAGCAGCAAGTGACTGCGAGCTCAAACTCGAACCTGCCACAATAGTAAAGGAGCAAAGGAAATAAACAATTAAAAAAAAAAAAGAACAAAAAGAAAAATGGAAAACAACAGAATCTTTATGAGGCAACCTATCACTTTGATTTTATAATGCAATGAAACTTAACTAAAGTTTTGGGCAGGGAGTTGAGGATCGATTACCTTCCGAGTTGTCAGGTGGAATGAAGAAAAGAGTTGCACTAGCTCGCTCCATAATTTTTGACACCACAAAGGATGTAATTGAGCCGGAGGTATGTGTTTTAGCTGCAATCCCCATGATTTTGTTATTTGATTTAAGGAGAGATCACTTATATTTAACCCAGTATAGAGGATGGGAAGAAGAACTCGTGAATTCCTAGGCCACTGGGTTAACCCCAGTGGTTTATTTGCATGTAGATTGTTGGCTGTTCATGTATTGAAAATTGGCTGAGAATTCTATCTGCTTACATTTTTAATGAAGTTGCTCAAACTTTGGTTGTTGATTGTGAAGCTTCATAGTTTAGTGTGGTTATTTCTGTGAAAAATAGTTCACTCTCTTGTCTTGTCATCCTTTTTTGGAAAAAAAAATGGGGGATGGGGAAGGGGTTTGGTGGTTGCCCCTGAAAATTCAAACGCTATGGAATTAAGAATTAATAAGTATTTATTGTGCCAAGGAAAAACTTGAATTTTCATTTATTGGTATGTTCACCTTGGTTTTCAGAGGTCAAATTAGACTATAAGAAACAGTTTCAACATTGCCTCTGGTACACCTGGATGTGTTTTTGTTCCACTCCTCATTGGCAATTAGAATTGTGCATACAGTCTTTCATACACACTTAGGGGTGGCCATTGTACACACTTCTAGTTTGGCCCTTGTAGTTGTCACACATTTTGTGTTTGCATGTGAAGTACGCATTTGGATGGCCATGGCCATAGTTCTCAATTTCAGTTTCTTTTACAGTCTTTCTTGTTGATCGCTTTGCTGCATATCTTGTAGCTCTACAGAGACTGATGGAAAAATATTCAATTTCAATTGCTAGAAGTTGAGCAATAGTACTTAGTTTGGTTTGATCCAGACATATATGCTTCATTAGTGCTGAGTGATGTTTTAAGGAGATTTTTAATTTGGTTTTGCTTTCACGAGTTCCTGCAGATTCATAGATGCTATGGGAGGTCAAGCAATCAAATATTGAGTTTTTTGGGGAGGTAGTCAATGTGAGAAAGTGATTGAGTTTGTTGGGTTTGAGGAAGTTGAAGAAGATTCAACTCTTGAGGGTGATAGAGGACAGCCTTAGAGGTCCTCAAAATACAAACTGTGTTGCAGGGGAAGGCTGTGAATCTGGTGATTAAGATGGATTAAAAAGAATATCTATGGTAAGACAGAAGAGAAGGACATGAATTAGTTGAAGTAGGAGAATTGGGAAGACAAGAGAAGAAAAAAGGATACTAGAGAAAGCCCAAGCATTGCATTTAGGTTTTGGGTATTCAAACCTAAATCTGAGTTTTTGTCTTCAACATACTAAACCAAACCTTAAGCCCCATCAAATAGGATCGGTTACATGAATCATTCTTCCTTATTTGACTCTATCCAAGGCCATATCGTTAGTTAAATTAAGGAGATTCATATCTTTATTTACTACACTATCCCACGTCAATCTAGGTTTGACCCTTCCCCTAATACTTCCATCTATCGTCATTGTATCGCATCTCTTCAGTACTGCGAATGATAATTCAACTGCTTCAACAATCAAGCACTAATTCAGAAATTAAGGAAGAGAATGCTACTTATTTGTATTGTCTAAAGAATAATTTTATAGTGATGACTAACACGGATATGTTTACATAGTGGTGATTATGAATTTATGATTTTTGTATAGCTCATGGCAAGACATCAATGTCTTGGGACGTGTTTAGAGGCTAGACACGCCTCTTCGTGACGTGCCTCCATCGTGTCTAGACAGAGAAAAGTTATACAAAAATGGGACATGACGTGCTATATCCCATACATATCACGTATCCAGGCAGTTCATGTTTGACATGTGTTGGACATGGCTACAACAACTAAGTTGAAGTGCATGTGCTTCATAGTTAGAGAGTGACTCAAACCCAGTTGAACACTTGGAAGCAAAATTATACCTTATTTGAACAACCATTTTGAACAATTTAAATTGACAAGAAGGTAACATAGGAACTTGAGCAAAGTGATTTGCAACCATGATTGGGTGGCCTTCAGGCCTGTGGGCCGTGTGTTTCTCTCTGAAAAAATCAAACATGCTGCCTTGTTTGTTTTCATGCACCACCGAGAAGAGAGAGCCCAGAGAGAGAGATTGGTGGCCATCATCTTGATCATCCATCTCCTCAAGAATAACATATTTTGCAGCTGGATTGGTTGTCGATGACCTTGCCACATTCTCTTTACCTATTTCACCCTTTTGTAGCTTTTGGTATTTGTACCAATTGAATAAGCTCACGCCAAACAGGATTGTAATAAGGCCAGCCCCTTTCAACCAAGTGAACTGATCATGGAAGTAAAAGACAGCAACCAAGATGGTGACAGCCTCCTTGACAACTCCTGCTATTGTCACAGTTGCTGCACTAGTTACTGAAACAAGAGTGTATTCTGTCAATACCATAAAAAAGGCGAGAGTTCCACCAAGAAACATGAGAAGGCAACTCCGAGTGATATGCCATGAACTATTGAAGTAATTGCTTGTTCTGAATTCATCCCAAGGATCCATTATCAGAGAGAGCATAGCAGTTGCCACTGCCATCACTGGAGTTACATAGCTCATCAGGGTAAGTGGATTTTTCAAACCATATACTTCTTTCTGAAGAAGAATCTGAGTCATGGTCCAACGAAATCCAGACATAACAGCAGCAAGCATAACAAAAATGAATCCCCAAAATTCAAATTCAGTTTCCTTCGCAACTGTTAACATTATTCCAATGGATATAATAAAAATGATACCGAAAAGTTTAAAGCTTGGAGACTCCAATCTAAATGCAAAAGCAAATATAAGGAGAAATATAGGAGCTGCTGATTTACTCATAGTGGCAAATGTAACAGAGATGAAAACAAGGGAGGCCATCAAGGACATGTCTTGTGTTCTTACATCTGAACACATACACGGCACCGA